TTGGGCTTTGCAAGGCCCTGAGACGAGCCAATGGAGTATGACAGGGGTCTTCGAGATCCCATTTGCTGCCCACCCAGGCACGTGTTGTCACTTGAGTTTTTCTCGGGCACCGGCACACCTGGCTAACCGCTGCTTAGACACGCAGGTGCAGACTTCTGCTGTACTCCTGTTCTTCTAACTCTCCCCTCGGGCGGTATTTCAGATCCTCTGGCCTCCCCAGCCCCAAGTCCCAGGCTCAGTGACGTGTGTGCCCCAGCTGCCCGTGCACAGTGGGACATGCTTTGCTTAGGTACTAGTCACCTTTAACCCCTCCCCCCCCAGACTGCCTCCTTGAGATCCACCTAAAGCTCAGAGGTGTGTGTGTGTGCAAGAAGGAGGTGTGTGTGAGTTTAATGTCTCCTGGCTGAACCTGTGACTGGGGGATGCGAGAGCTGATGAGAAATCCTCTTTTACTTGCATGAGCTGACTTCAGAAGATATTAACATGATTTCTCTATAAAGCTAGAAGAACAGCCTGGCAGTTATTGCATAAAATCTGTTTCGTTTTTGTTTTTGCTTTGTTTTTTTAGACCAGGATGGCCTCAAACTCACAGAGATCTGCCTGCCTCTGCCTCCCAAGTGCTGGGATTAAAAGGCATGCGCCACCACCACCGCCTGGCCAAAACCTGGATTTTGATGAGAATTTTGTACATGCATTTTGAATGAACTCCGGAAGAGATGGATCACTGGCACTTCGTGGCAGAAGCCGTTCAGCGACTTGGCCTCCTTAGATGGATTTTCCTTCCTCTTCTGTGTCCTTCTGCTCCTGTTCCTACTTGATCAAGAGTTTCATGGTTACTAAGTCGAAGCATCCAGGCCTCTGGTTCAGATCCTGCTCTCCGGAGTCCAGGTGAGGAAACCCGGGCAGATGGGAACAACATGACAGTCATCCATAATCTTCCGACACAGCCCCATACCCTGTACCAACAAGTGCTTTCCATATTTGAGTTAAAGGCAAAACACACTGAGATGGAGCGGGAAGTTGCAGTCTGGTGACCCAGAACTGGGAGGCCCATCATATATATATGGGCCTCAAATACTTTTCCATTCCATTCCCACACGCCTATTCTCTCCTCCCAGCTCACCTTGAAGTGACTTCCCCGTGTGACTGAGGTGAACCCAGCCTTCTCTGTTTCTTTTTGGGTGCCCTTTTTTTCTACTTTAGAGGAGAAAGAGATGAGACATTTGTCATTATGCTTATCTGACTGACACCCACTGGAACCATTCTGTCCCTTCGTGGACCTGTGAGTGTCCCGCTATTTCTCCACAGGAAGTAGAACTCCCATGCCAGGAGAAACGCACGAGAAAGCCCCAATGGCATCTAGAGAGGGAAAAGCAGGGGGTAGAGGTGGTGGGGGCGGGATCTGGGCCAAGTGTGTAGTTACAAGCCATAGCTTTTTACCACCTTGGGCAGAAGTGATTCAGTGGTCCGTTGGTCCCTGATGACACTGGATCCTGTGTCACCATAATGGGGGAAGGTGTACTTTTCTAGCAGTGTGTACACTGTTGCTCTGGCTGCCCCAGGGAAACTTTCTGCCCTCTACACATGAGGCCAGGCAAGGGGCCCAGCTCTTATTGGGAGGTTAGAAACCCAGGCAACCTGTCAATCAGTCCAGCCAAGGGCCCTCAGACACGGAGTCACGTAGCAACTGTGAGAGCTGGAAATGAGTGTCACCAGGATGGGCCACCACGTAGACATCTTACTTAGCAAGGGGATTCAGTCCTGTCGCATCAGCTGATCAGACCCTCATGGCTGCCACTTGGTGTTCCTGTCAGAGGCGTGGATATGTGTTGTACACGATTTGATCCTCTCCTGGGATGGCTCCCCAGTCAGTCCAGATGCTGCCCGGGCATCAGCGTGTATGGCAAAGATGGCAGGCCCGTTCCTTGTTCAGTGGCAAACTTCACTAAGGTGCTTCTCGTGGGCTGCTCATGCATGTCCCCCAGCCTGACCTGCACACCTCTTTGTCATCCTAGGAAACACGGGTCTACACACAGCCTTCCCTGGATTTTCTGCTGAGCACCGTTTGAGGTATACCCTTATTGGTCTAATGTGTGCCGTTTCAAAACACAGGAGTTGGTTCATTTGTTTCTAGGGAACTGTAGGGAAGACTTGAGGTGTTGGTGTGGAAGTGTCTCTCAGAGGACCATCTCTTAAAGGCATGGTGCCCACCTGTGGTTCTCCTGGGAGGTGTTGAAACCTTTAAGAGGTGGGGGTCTAGAGAGAGGATGTTATATCACTGGGTGATACCCTCAAAGTGGGTCCTGATCCTGTCCTGTGTCTTCTCTTCTTCCTGGTCACCATGAGATGAAATCTGTACTCCGTCACACACCTCCGATTTGATGTTCTCTCTCTCCACAGGCCCAAAGTCAACAGAGCTAAGTGACAATGCGCTGAGACTTCCAGAACTATTAGCCAAAACAAATATTTCCTTCTTATAAGCTGATTATTTTGGGCATTTTATCACAGTGCTGGAAAGCTGAGTAACACACACGGTGTATTTAGCGCTCAGGGCTTTGTGTGTGACTGGCCATACAAGGTCCCACTGTCTCTCTCCTCTGAACAGAAGTTGTTCTATACAATTTCTAAGAGGCACTGGCTATGATTCTCAAGGAATCATCCTTTAAGGTGACTCTGAGACCTCCCAGACATGGGCCAGCTGACTAATTTTTGAAGCAACTTTCTCAGAAGGTACATATTATTCTCTCCTCAAAATACACTGTGTTGTGCTAAGAAGAACAGCATTAAGTGGAAAAAAATAGCTACAAACTTCCGGTCGAACTTATGCCAAATAGAAAGCAGTATCACCGCTATCAGATACAGGTAACCGTGTGACAAAGGTCAGCAAACTGCCTCTCTGAGACAACATTTTTCTCATAATCGGGATTGCAGCAAGCCCCTGCTGGTGTAATTAAAGGTCACTGTCCTAGGATCCGTGAGAATGTGCAGGAGAGAAGAAAATGTCCCTAAGGAGCAGGGGGAGGCCAAGCTCCCACTTCTTTTCTTCATCTTATTTGATTTTCCTTCCCTGGACCCTTGGTCTCTCTCAAGTCAGTTTATTCTGGAGCTATGACACCTGGGGGGCTTGAAGCCTTTCAGAGGTTATCTTCAAAGCTGTGTTGGACACTCCCTCACGTGGTCTTAGGATGCAATCTGTGGTCCACATCAGAGATTTCTGGCAAATACACATTTGTCCTTGGTGGTACAGTTGTCCCAGGTCAGCTCAGAGACTCCCTCTTCCCAGGCTTCCGTTCCAGTGTGGCGTGGATAAGACCTGACGGTGAACTCCTGGTAAAAGGGCATTGTCTCCTTGCCAGGTCTGCTTCTGTGCTCCAGGGTTGAAAACACTCTCCTGTCGAGGGGGAGAAGATTGAGCACTAGTCTTGACTTGATTATATGTCATCTTGATATTTTGAGGCTGACTCCTCTAGCAAAATTCCCCCACCCAGCTGGGTGGCGCATGTGGTAAGAAGGGCTCTTTTGTAAAATTCTCCGGAGACCATGTGGACCGATCATTTCAAGGAGTGGGTACTATCAAAGGTTGCCTAAAAGCAGACAACGATAAATATAAGCCAGGACACATTCTCACCATGGGAATGTGAAAGACAAAGCCAGGATTGTTGGGAGGTCAAATCTCCCACCCTGGCTCTGACTCTCAACCCCCAGAGGAGTGTTTGAAGCCCAGACTGGGGTCTGCTGGTGCCTTGCAGTTACCCGCTGTGCCCGGGCTCTGAGATGTTGAGCACTAACCTCGGTCCAAGCGGGTTTACCCCCATCCCAACTGAACCACACGCCGCGTCATTCTTAGGTTCTTAACGGGATCAGTGCCCCCGAAGGCTGCCAGCTGCCCCTCGGCGCTAACCCCTGGGCTTCTTTAGACAGCCTCTCCTCCAGCAGGAAGCAAGAATCTGGGCTTCCTGTTGCCCGGTGCTTTGCAATTTACCCAAAATTCATCTCACCAGGGTCAGTGAGAAGGCACAGCGGGGGGAGGCACTTTCAGCCAAGGCTGACAACCTGGGTTCGATCCCTGGGACCCACATGGTGGAAGGAGAGGTCTGACTCTCACAAACTGTCCTCTGACCTTGACACATGCTCCACGGTGTGTGTGTGTGTGTGTGTGTGTGTGCGCGCGCGCGTGGGCGCGCGCGCGCACGCACACACACATAATAATATTAGTTTTAATTCATCTCAGCAAACATTTACCAACCAAACACCTATAGACATTCCAGACAGTGTGTCTAGGACTATGGACGGAGCCAGGTAAGAAGCCAAGACACAGGTCAGCCTCCAAGCCCAGCGGGAAAGAAAAAGACCTACCA